TTCTATATGGTATGCAACATCTCCAACTGCATGTCTGAATGACAGCAGGTGCATGGTGGTATGAAAGATGGATGCTCTGGTTGAGAAAAAGCCTAGAAGACCACTGAGGAGAGAAAACCTTTCTTGAACTGTGACCTAACTGCGACTCCCCTTGTACCTTGTGATATTATCATCCTTTCCTCTTCATTACTAAGAGGACATAAGGTCCTCTCAAACCTCAGTTTGAAGCAAAAATCTCTTCCATGCTTACTATCTTTGTGACAGTAAAAACCTACCTTCAAATCGATGAGCCCATTTTTTTTAACAGGCAGATATGTGACCTGAAAACCTTCCGTCTCCAGGGAACGGCAAGAATCCAGCACACACTTGTGCTCTGTTTGGGTAGTAATGATGTGCTTCTTTCTGGATTTATAGAATCGTGCAACACCCTGTCATGCACAATCCATAAACAAGAAATTTGCTGTTAAATTGCTGAAGAGAGCAAACTTTACATAAAATCCTCATAAACAAGAAACTAGACCAAGTACTACACGGTACAGGCTGAAACAACTCATGCATAACAAACAAGAGAATTAGCAATAGTCCATTCTGCAGCATTACAGTTTACTCAGAGGAAGCCAGAAGGTAACTTTGACTCAGAGGAAGAAAATTTTTCTTTTCCAATTAATTACTCAACTATGCTGTAAAACTACAATTCAGACATTATTCCATTTCAATCTTCTCTGCCCCAAAGTCATGAATCTAAAAGGCAATAACATGTCATTTACACTAGATACTTGCATCACGATTCATTTTTCAAAAGCATCTCAGTTTTCAAAAAAGTCTGAAAAGTTGTTAGATAAAAATTCTACATATTTTTTATCAATAGAAACCCTTTTTTTAAAAACTTATGAAATCATATGGAATGAAAAATCTGAACAGCCACATACAACTACGCTAAAGGTTAAAATGTTAACTAGTCTTAGTCAGAAAAAAGTTCATAATCAGCATCTCTGCCGTACTTCACGATAAATGTTTTAATCGTGCAAGCAGAAGTACTGTGCTTAGTGCACGTAAGATAGACATACATTTTATCTCCAGTTAAAATAAAAACAAAAAAAAAACAAAAAATACCATGAACTAATTTTAATTTTGTTCAGATCTAACCAAAAAATTCTAATATCTTTAAATTAGCATCAGAATGGAAAACTGTCAACCTAAAGAATTTTATGGACTAATTACATCAATAGCAGAAGGCTGAGGTGCTTTTCACCAGAGAACAAATCCCATCACATAAGCTCATTTTTAGAAGAAAACAAAACATCACATGTTATACCCTGCCCTCAAAACCATGCCCTAGAGAGCATGCCATCCCAATATTTCTTCCATCTATCTAGCAGAATATGGCAAGTGATAAAACAAACAGTGATAAAACAAACACATGCTAACAAGGTCAACAAATTAACACTTAAACTGTTGAGAGGTGTGTATGGTTCTTAACAGCATGATCTGTGACACAAAGCCCTTACAGATTCAATAACAGCTGTACTAAACAGCCACCAGTATAAACCTTTTACCTTAATTGCCATATTATTTGATTCTGTAGCACCACTGGTAAAAATAATTTCTCTGTGATCCGCTCCTATTAAATCTGCCACTTGCTGTTTAAAGAGAAACACAGATATGATTTGTTATTCTAACATGCAATGAATTCACCATATGAAAAACACAAAGTGTTTTCTAGAACACAGTCTTGAGCCTCGAAACAATTATAGCCAGTGCCTAACAAAACGGCACTACAGATACAACAGTCTAAATATCTCCATTAATACAGAATATATAAGGAAATCAAAGTCAACATTAGTAATGGTATTAAGCATTAGCTTCTCATAAAAGAATAATAGTTTAAAATGTGAAAACGAGTAAGTACTACATCCAAAATAAGCCACAAAGACCCATAACTAAGATTAGGAGAAAAAAATCTTATCAATTTATAATCATAAAGCATGAAATTAGCCCAGTTACTGCAGAAGCATACTAAAGGAAATGAGGTTGCTAAATCCAGCGCACAGAGAAACAGCTAAATAAAACAGTTTTTTCTTGCTTTTGATTTTCTTTTTAAATTCGATTTCTTCACCAGCAGGAAAACCGTGAACCTTTGGAGTGCTGAAGGCACTCACCCGTCTTGCTTTTTCCATGGCAGCCTCACTCTCCCACCCATAGGCATGAGTCCTGGAATGAGGGTTACCATAGTAGGTCATCAGATAAGGAAGCATGCTGTCCAGAACTCTAGGATCCTGCAGGACACAAACAGCTCAAGCTTAAAAACTGAAAATGAGGCGCATTTCCTTCCTCTCTAGGCACAAGTACCGTTCCTTATAGCCCAGAACTAGCACTTCTGCTCTAGTGCCTCTCTTCATTTCAGGCCAGACCGGGACAACTTAAGGTCATTGCACGTACTCCATACAACATGCCCTGCAAGGATCTGGCAAACACAACAAGTAATCTGGCAACCTCGGTCTGTACCGAGATGATCTCAGAAGAACTGGACTTGCTGAGGAGAAGGGATACACAATCTTAACAACTCAAAGAAATTACACCAAAAAACAAAAAAAGTTAGTTATATTACTTCCTCATCTCTCCTCCAAACAACGCCCACCGCGGCTAGTTTTAGTTTAAGCTGTAACATGACTCCTCTCGTTACCACATCTTGCATCCACAAAACGTTAAGAAGATGCACTAAGTCTCTAAAATCCCCTGGGAAACGTGTAAGAGTAGATGATGGACAAGACTGTCGTCATGGCACTACAAAGACTTTTCCCGGATGACCGAGACTTCCTCCGTTACCAAAATAAAAACGTTTGTCAACCGCAATTCATTGTAAACGATGCTGAGGAGCAGCAGCCGTCAGAAGAAACGCAGTAAGCGCTTCAAGCTCAGGAAGCGAGCGCCGCAGGAAAAGAAGGAAACGCAAGGGC